TATATAAAAATAAAATCCTCTAAAATTTAGATAATTTTGCTTGTTCTGAAATTCCTTTTTCTGGGTGTATATTTTTTTTTAAATTCCGTTTCTAAACCTCACACAGCCGCGGACGGAATTTCACTGAAAAGCATTCGCTTCCCGCAACGTGTTAACATTGCCGGCATCGAACGTTCGCTATTTTGAAGGATACCTGAAGACGTATCTTCCATGTTTTCGAGTCGGTGTCTTCGATGCTCGGCACGACGCGAAAAGCCGTGGCGCGTGGGTAAGCGACTCGAATAAAGACAGGAACAAGTGCATTCAACGCGCGCGAGAACTGCATTGAAAGGCGAACTGCCTTTCCGTGGCGAAAAGCGAGCCTACGTTACTCGCGATGAATGAATTATTTCGAAATTCGCTGGTCACATGCCTAACGTTTTATTATGTCACTCTCAAAGTACAAATTTATAAGTTCGTACATTCGCGCATATCGTAACTTTTATTTTCTCTGTCGTCTCGATACAAAATCTCTATATTATGCATGCATTGGAAAAAAAGTTCTCTTTTTATCTACAGGAAACAAATACTTTTATGATCTTGCTGACCTGCGGCCGCTGAGTACTATGTATACTCATATTCCGTATTTTTGTTTTATTTTTATCGTGCGATTTGCGCGCTTTACTCGCGATGCGGCTCGAGTCGTAGCCGATGCTTCAATCAGAGAACTCAACTTCCGGGAATCAATTACAAAGTTCTCTCGTTAAACTATCGGTGACGTTGCGAGCCGCATCGGGAGGGAAGTGTTGAAATCGAATCGAGTGGAAGTCCGCGCTCGTATGGCCAACCGTCTGCGCGCGATTTCACCGGTGTAGCTAAAAGAACGCGTCGAATGACTATGATCGAGCGAGCTAATCGGTCATTGGACAGAAGCCGAAAGTGACGGTACACGTGACGTGTCCGGCGTTGCAAGTGCGACGGAGGATTCGGTTGGAATGTGATTTCACCGAGAATCTTCCGTACGTGCTTTCATTATATTTCTACTTGTCCCCAGGTGAAGATATAATAAAGAGCTGCCGTTTACACCGCGTACCGACATTCCGACTCTGTCACGATCGATTACCGTCTTCGTCTGAAAAAGGATCAAACGCGAACCATCATGCAAACGAGCGCACACGAGTTCTCACTTTGTGAGAATAACACGCGCGCGATCGGCCGTGCATGTTGATATATGATAATTTACAATTTTCACAAAAAAAAGACAACTAGCTCGTTCGCCGCGGCTATAAAACGAGGGCAAGAAGATGCCTACTCTGGATATAATACGCTCAGAGGGAAGTTGGCATAGATGTTGTTAGCGGTTTCCTTGATAACTTTGGCAGCGTACCATTCGGCCGTCCGGTGCATTTCGTGCATCAGTGTCTGCCATTGATTTGCAAAAATTGATCCAAATCAATGGTCATCGTCTCGTTATACTCGCCGTTTTAGTCCCCGAGATTTTATCGATTTTCAATTGCACCTGGAATTATCACTTTAAAATATTCCTCGCCCGTTTCCGTTTATCGTAATGTTCACCATTTATAACGACGTCGGTGGTGACGTTTCTAAAAATTGTTGTCAGTCGGCCTACTTTTACGGGCCTCGTAAAATTGGGCATCACTTGGTATTTTGTGCGCAATATAATCTGTGGGAACTTCGCCTGTAACATTATCTGATGCCTTGCGTAGCTGAAAACGAGAATGTCCAGATAGTCGAATGCTGTTCGGCTGCTGAGATTCAGCCGCGCTCGAATTCGCGATGCAGCTTCTCCTCGGGCGAAGAAGATTATCGTTCCATTTGTCGTACGACAAGTGTCGTCGAATCTGTCAGTCGAATTTAACAATTCCCGCGAAAATTGTTTATCCGGCGACTCAGGAATTCGACGATACTCCTTGTACTACATTGCAAACCCGAGTGTGTTATTTTGACACGTATAGGCTGAAGCTTTCTTTACATGTTTCTTGTTGTCTTAAGCTACGTCATTTAATTCATTTAGACGTTATTTAGACATTATATTTATTTTGTTTTTATTTATTTTTTATTTATAAAGTGATTTTTCCTATAGTCTCATATTCTGAGCCGTTTACGGGAAAAAGAGTTTCCTATAAAGCGATTAAAGTGAACTATTCATCTAAAATTTATTAAATTCTAACCGTTTTCAAGAGAATTTTCTCTTATATCAATTAATTTTCCTTTTATATGAAGAGGAATATGTTGATTTGAATGTCGGCTTCTTTTGTTTAGTCATGCTCCATCTCCAGACATGAACGAAAAAATAACCATATACTCATGGGTCAGAATATTTAGAATGCTTTTTAAAAAAGGTATATGTGTTGTTATAATAACGAAGATAATTTACCCATATTTGGTCAAATACAGTTTATAATCTATTGCAAGAAGTTAGAAAATATATTTTCTTTCTTTCAACTATGTTTCATACCATCGGTTATGATGAACATCTTTGCAGCTATGAAGCCCGTGACAAAACTGATTGGAAATTTATTTGTTATGATGGTCTTATTTCATTCGTGCTTACTTATCGTAGAACTAGAGCCAGAAGTATATTTATATATATATATATACATTACTTCTTGCTATACATTATCATAATTTTTTCAAATTAAGTAGTTTAACTAGTAAGAAAGAGAATAAAATACAGTATAGTAAGAATAAATAATAATTCTCTTAAAAAAAATTAAATAATTTGTGTATAAGAGGAAATTTATATTAAAATTAATAAAATTTGCATTACAGACACACATACGTACATATAACATATAATTCCTCTAACATTTTAAGTATAATGCGTTTATAATATGTTCCTTTTAATCCTAAAGGAATCCTCTTGTGGAATCATCTCACAAATAAGAATAAAATCCCCTAAAATTTAAACGATTCCGCTTGTTCTGAAATTACTTTTTTGGATGAAAACAACACTCGAGTTTGCAGTGATACAAGAAGGCTATTAGCTCCACATTATTACGTCTATTGTTATGTGTATTGTTGCGTGATCGACTTTAAAATCGACATCCGGGATGAGACGATCGCTTGGATCGCGCATTGCGAATGAATGTTTGTATGTCGTATGTCAATCTGCTCTATCGCGATTACTTACTTGAACCCCGTTATATCGAAGTCTGCTGCTCCGGAGATTATTATATCCGAAAACTTCGTGGTGCTTGAATATTTACCCGACATGGAAAAATCGTAAGTCGGTATACAATACGGGTTGAACGTCGGAATACCCAAAGAATAAACACCATCCTTCAAGTGAGGCTTTAATGATTCTATGCTGCGCTTTATACATACTCCTAGATCAATCTCTCTTTGGTTACAAATGTACAGTAGTGGTACTAAGAACAAATTACATACTGCGTTCGCAATTACTTTCTCACACATATCAGTTTTGAAAAACACACGATTCATCGGAAGGCAGCGGGTCAACTCGAAAAATACCTCAAATTAAGTGTATCTCTCTTAGAATAGACTTCTATTCGCGAGATTAAAACGGAGTTACAAATGTTAGCTGTTCGAGAAAATTTTCGGATTTGCGAGATGATCGCACGGTTACTTACACGTAATCCCTAGATCGCGGTCAGACTTCACCATGGTCATCATGCTCATCAAAAAGATCAATAAAATAACACGCATTGTGGCTTACCGAAAAATCCTCGGTCAAATTCAAATTTAATGTTGCGTCGAAATATTGAGTGACTTTAATGCGCGAATTTCACTGTTACTCGATAATGTTCCGACTATGCGATTTCGACGACAACTAGCCAGCTCGCGTTGTTCTCGTTTCCACGTCTCTCGTTAATATATTTGTCCGACGAGTCAGGATTCGTATTTCGGACACGACGATCACGTGTACACACAATGCAAATCACGAGCGGCCTTGTGGCTTAACATTGTGCCAAGCATTTGTCGAGAGAATAATAGGGAACTTGTGAATCTACATCGAAAGTTCTCACGAAATCCTATGATCTTAGCTAAGGTGGCTACTTGAAAGGAACATACATTGCGAAGCGAATATGTAAAACGCAGTCTTTAATTTTTAAAGCATTGATAATGGGACAATTATTTGTGTCCTGCGGAAAATGAAGTGCAATGGATCGATGAATTTTGCTAGATATTATTCGAAGAGATCAAGTGATAATACATTGAGAAAGAAAAATGTTTAAAAATATTAAATATTTCTACCGTTGCCGTCGAATTTTTTCATTGTTGAAAAGAGAAAGGAAGAGAGAAGGAAAACGAGTAAGAGGAGTTATGTAGAATTACATATTACATGAAATTTCACTTGATACGTGCATAACTCTTTATTGCGTTGGTTAAATTTATAAATAAATTTGTATAATCTAAGCGCCGTTATTCACGCGAAGAAAAAATATCAATATTGCGAACGCTCTTACATGGATTTTTTTCTCTGCGAGGAAAACAAATATTTCGCTTATTGCACGTATTCTTTTCTTTCTAGAAATTCTCAAGTATACGCGTAATTTCCGGATAATTATATACTCGAATTTATTTTACTGTCAGGACAAAATTGTTCTGGATGTTGTTTAAGATACAGCTGATGCTTCAATGAAAGAATTTATTTTTGGACCGCTAAAAAATAATTTGTCTTATTGAACCATTGACTGGTGTAAAATGCTCCGAAAAAAAATTGTCCAGATTGTTTCAGCTCCAAGTTTACAATCGTATTTCGTATATCCAAGTTTACAAAGCGTAAGGTTCTTTAGCGTAGAATCTTTAGGTCTAGGAAGGATCTATATATATATTATTACCGATAAGATTGGTAACGCGAAATGGTTCCAATTACAAGCGACAACTCGCGAGCTTCATCAGTTATGACGAAAGCCGAAGTGATGGTATACGAGATATCTAACATTGCATGTATAACGAAGAAAACGCGTGGAACATAGGTATTTTTATCATACTTTTATTCATTGAATGAAAGTACAATAAAGAGATACTGTGTGCATAGTGTACTATCATGCGAGTTCTGTCACAACCGCAAACCCGCGAGCATTCGTTCGCATTTGATGCGCACCGAACCCCATTGGAAGAAAAAGCCATTTTCTAAAGCAGCATATACGAATCTCCGTATCAAAATAATAAATGAGTAATGCACAACTAATTGTGCTAGCAAGTTACACTCATTATAAAATGATTAATCTCTTCATCATGACAATAAAATCAAGACGATGCGTTTTAACGAGACGTTAACATAACAGTTGGGAAATTCGTGTAAATTCTATTCCAAATGGTCTGGATAAACTCAGCTGCAATGTTTTTGATGTTATAAATTATTTCGTAAGTCAATGGATCCCACTCAAGTGCAAGATAATCATTTGCCAACTGCATTAGGTATTCGAGTGTACCTCTTTGTTGTTTATTAGTCTTCATCCCTTCAAACTTTAAGATTGCCACGGTGACGTTGTTCACCTAAAAATATTGTTCTTCGTTCTCAAAATGCCTACCTCGTATAATAATTTCAGCAACGACGTTCCTAAAATTGCTATTTAATCTGTATCTGCTACTTTTAATAAGCGTAGGAGACGCATATGAGACGTATGCATTGAACTTGTGGACACACTGACGAATGGAAAGTGCGCCAGAAACTCAATATAATGATCCTCGACAACTCTGGAAACAAGAATTTTAGGGTAATTTTGTGCTCAGCTGGTCACAAAGCGCGTTTGGATTCACTACGTGTTCGTCTCGTTAGGCCAAGTTGTTACAATTTCTTTTGTTATACGGCGAATATTTTGCGAATATGTCAAATGATTGCTTAGCGCATTTTTAACACTCCCCTCGGACACTGTAGGAATTCTCTATCTGACAATATTCGTCGTACAAGTGAAATATTGGCTTAACAGTACTGAATAATCCGCTGATGTGTTTATGTAATGTTTAGATAATAATTATTTACCTGACTCTAGTTATCGTGAAGTTTGATATACCGTTGATATATGTATCACTAAACTTTATCATAGGGATATACTGGTTTTCGAAGGTCATCTTATAAAATTGCGTATAATATGGCTCGAAAGAAGGTATACTTAATTACGGAATTTCGAAAGAATCTATACTTAGTTACGGAACACTCTGCGCTAAGTAAGGCCTCATCGAATCCAAGCTTCGCGGTAAGCATGCTTGGAGTCGCGATTTCGGACATGTATGTAGATTTGGTACTAACAACAAAATAAAGTGTTCTTGCAATTTTTTTTTCGCATGTACATCAAAGCGGCATAAGCCGATTTTACGTTCGATCCGGAAAACGCGCGGTTCCGCGAGAAGAAAAATCGACGCGGTTCGTCGAATATGTAAGATCGCGCGTATCTGTCATAAGATGGCCGCAGGAAAGTGAACATCATACGTGCTGATACTCGTTGGAGAATATTACTTTATCCGACAATCGCAATGTTACTTACATCTGTCCCTTAAATAGTTGGCACACATGTCCGTGATGAAGCCGCTCGTTATAACGAAAAGCGCAAAGATGGTATGCATTTTTGCGGAGAGGTTCTTGTTTCGAATTTAACGAATGCTGAACGATTTCGACGTGTAGATTTATCACCAGTGGTGATAAATAACCTTACGATTTCGACAATAATCCAGCCACTCGCGTTGTTCTCGATTTTACGACTTTCATAAACATATCGGTCCGACGCGTCGAGAGTGTATTTTAAACTCAGCGATCACGCATCAACAGGATGTAAATCACAAGTTATCTCCTTGTTCAACGTTGAGGCGAAGACGCATTGAAAGAACAACGATAAATATGTAAACACATGACGAATATTTTCGCTGAATCCTTGCAAAAGGTCTCCCTTTACAATTGTTATCCTCCGAGGCGATTATTTGGAACGAAATAATTTGTCGATTAAAATTATAACATCAGCTTTTACCTTATCGCATCGCATTTTGAGACTTAAATTGATGATGTCAGTTTTCGACTAGTTAACAATTGGAAAGATCGATTCGCGTCTACATCGGGAAATTCTGTTTGGTAGATTTTACTAAGCGAGAAAATATTTGAATATGAAAAATATATCTCCCCCGAATTTTAATAACTTCAACTCACACTGTTATCTGTTCGGGAGCGCATAAAATATTTTCCGTGAATGTTTATACACATATATAGCTTTCACGTTAAATTAGTCAAGGATTAATGTGTTATGCTTCAAATTTTTTCTTTAACATACATAACTCTTTGTTACATGTTCTCAAAATACAAAATCACTTTGTATCATACTTGTGCTACTATATTTGCGTGATAAAACTGTCAGCAATATGGAAGTGTTAGAATGATGTTTTATTTTACAAAATCGTTTATTATCATCGGTTACGTTCTAAGCTGCATTGAAAAAACCAAATCTATTCTGATTTGCATAATGGTTTGTAAATGCTATCTACGACAAAGTTAGAAGTGCATCGAATGATCAAGGTTGCTCGATGATTGATTATGACGAAGAACGATGAAGGAGCCGAAATGATAATGCAGGAGATATCATCCGACGTTACAACTCTAACGAGAGATTCGCGATGAATCTAAGTATTTTTATTAAACTTTTATCTATCAAGATAAAAGTACAATAAATTATTTATACCATGCACAGTTATTCGAATTTTGTCATAAGCGGTTGTCATGCTCGCACTTTTGATTATTTAATGCGCACCTAACATTGTCAGAAAAGACGTTTCGTAAATCGATACATGTGAATGGTTACTCGGTATGAAATAATAATTGCGTACAATTGGTTCTGAAGATAAATATTTATCATATAGTGATGGGTGCTTCGTCACTGCGATAAAATTGAGACAATTGCACGTCTAAATAAGCGTCAGCAATACGTTAATTGGATATTTCAAGAAAATTTTATTCTCTCTCTCTCTCTCTCTCTCTCTCTCTCTCTCTCTCTCTCTTTCTCTCTTTCTCTCTCACTCTCTGTTGTCCGGATAATATTAGATGCGAATAATTGAATTGAATTGAATTACATGCATGTTTCGGGAAGTTATAGCTCCTCAGTTGTTTTGCTGATAGTAATTTATGTTGATGATTAATTGGGAATACCATTTACTTATTATTTCCGAGGTGGTCTTAACATCCCCTACGCTTTTGAATACCACGTTGACGTTGACGTAATAAACGTTGAAATATTTATAGGTCCTTTTCCAGTTCTCGTAATATCCACCTTGTATAGCGATGCTAGCGTTGATATTCGTCAAGTCGTTCTTTGGAAACTGGGAGATGAGAAACGCGGTCGTACTATGTATATCGTAGTTAGCTGACACATTGTTGGATGGAAAGTATGCGTTAAATTTAATCTCCTACGCAATACGTTTATAGTTGTTGAAAGAAACACTGAAAACAATTTAATGCTAGTTTTGTGCTCACGTGATCCGTGATTGAATTCATCATGTAGATCGGTTTTGCAGAATAAGACTATCGATCGATTTTACGTTGATCCACATGGAGACAATCATCCTTCATCTGAATCATGCGTAAATTATTCAGAGATGTATCTCGACCGGTGTGCGTCAATTTATATATTAATAATGGCTTACCGAACATTATGTATCGTGAAGTCTGAAATGCCATAGATAGTTATGTCCGAAATCGATAGGAGAGTAACAGAGTCGTCTTTGACGAAGTAAGGTACTTTTTCTGCACGATACGGGTCGAAAGACGGTAAGTCAAGCTGCGTGATGCCGATTTTCAGGAGTTATCTCATCAACTCAATACTGCGAGCTAGGTATGCATTGGCCGTTTCCTTCCGTCGCGAACATCTTTGCAGGTAAGGTATTAAGAACATAATAAACTTGCAATTTTATTTCAATACAAAAATGATAGAGAACGTAATTTCCTACGTCATTGTTTCGGTAAGCACGCGTTTCTTATGAGAAGGAAAATCAACTCGATAAATGAGATCACGTGTATCTGTCGTAGGATAACATACTATATGCAAAAGAGCACCAGAGGTACGAGTGTTCACTCTTGCTTGAGAAAATTATTTCGCACAACGATCGCAGGCTTACATATCGTTGTAGGTGACTCGAATGGTCCTGGCGTGGCAAAGATGCTCATAATAGCAAGGAGAGTAAGAAAAGTACGTATTATGGCCTGAGAAAAGGTTCTTGGTCGAATTCCAATTTAACAGGATGCCGAAGTGCCGTGCGATTTTGACGTTTGAATCTGACAGTCAATCAGCAATGCTATAATCGTGACTTTTAATTTAATCTTTAATAACTAAAAATCGTCTCGCTTTGCTCTTGTTTACATAATTTTTGCTAACATACCCGAGGTGTCAAGATTCATATTTTACAACCAAAAAAAAGTAATTTCGGAACAAGCGGAATCATCTAAATTTTAGAGGATATTATTCTTATATATGGCCTCAAGAAGATTCCTCTAAAATTAAGAGATATTATAAACACATTATTCTTAAAGTTAGAGGAATTATATGTTATATGTATGATGCAAATCTTATTGATTTTAATATAAATTTTCTCTTATACACAGATTGTTTAATATTTTTTTAAGAAGATTACGATTTATTCTTACTATACTTTATTCTTACTGATTAACTTGAAAAATTATTGTAATATCAGGTGTAGTAAAAAGAAATCCATTATTTTTGCATGAAATTGAAGGCTTTAATTACCATAGTTAGAATGATCCGAGTTAGGTCAAATATGCGCCGTTTTGTTCGATAACTTGCCATTTTGAAGGTAATTTTATTATGCCTCTCTCATAGAAGCCCTCGTCCCTATTGGCAAACAATTGAGACAGTCGATTTTCACAAGCCTCTCTTGAAGCGAATTTTTCACCAGCAAAATTGTTCGCCATGGACAGGAACAGATGGTAATCACTTGGTGCCAGGTCCGGACTATAAGGTGGATGCATAAGAACCTCCCAACCAAGCTCCCGGAGCTTCTGGCGAGTCACTATCGATGTGTGTGGCCCGGCGTTGTCCTGATGGAACACAATTCCTCTCCTATTGGCCAAAGCTGGCCGCTTCTGGGCGATTGCTTCCTTCAGACGGTCCAATTGTTGACAGTACAGTTCCGAGTTAAGAGTTTTGCCGTAGGGGAGCAGCTCATAGTAGATAATTCCCTGTCAATCCCACCAACACACAGCAAAACCTTCCTGGCCGTCAATCCCGGCTTGGCCACCGTTTCCGCCGGCTCACCGAGATTCGATCACGACCGTTTTCGCTTGACGTTGTCGTAAGTGATCCACTTTTCATCACCAGTGATTAACCGCTTCAGAAATGGGTCGATTTTGTTGCGATTCAGCAGCGATTCGCAGATGGAAATTCGGTCCATGAGGTTTTTTTTCGTTAACTCGTGTGGCACCCATACATCGAGCTTCTTTTTGTATCCAGCCTTATTCAAATGGTTCCAAACGGTTTTTTGTGCAATCTTTAGCTCTTGGGCAATCGAAACAGTGCTTACATGACGGTCGGACTCGACAATGTCCATGATTTTATCGATATTGTCGACAATTGGCCTTCCAGAGCGTGGTGCATCTTTGACATCGAAATTACCGGAACGGAATCGACGAAACCAAAATTGCGCGTGATTGGCTGTTACAGTATCAGGACCATAAACACTATTCACATTTTCAGCCGCCTGGCTTGCGTTTTCGCCTTTATCGAAGAAAAACTGTAAAATATAGCGTATTTTCTCTTTGCTAGTGTTTATCTTTGACGCGCTCTCAAATAAAACTGAGTCAACTAATCACAAAACTGTCAGAAAAGTTTTTTGAGTACGAAATCTCATCTTTCTAACGCCATCTAGTGGAACCCGATCGGACTTATACAACGCGAGATACAGATAACTAAAGCCATATATTAGAAAAATAATGGATTTCTTTTTACTACACCTGATATATAGTGAAAAGTAATATATATAGCACTTCAGGCTCCAGTTCTACAATAAGTAGGCATGAATGAAATAAAATCATTATAACAAATATTCTGTATCTGTAATAAAAAATGAGGGTTTCCATTTAAGATTTCAAAGTTGCCCCCAACCCCCACCCCGAGGGGGTGGGGTGGGAGGCGAGTTTGGTATCATTGGATGTCCCCCTTCGAGACTAACAACTTTCATTAACCACTTTTTTTTATCCAATGCATAGTTCTCGAGATATTTCAATGTCTTCAGATAAATCGTGTACCCTGTATAACAAAGTAATTTATTCCTCAGAATACCAAACAGCTCAGAATACCAAACAGCTCATAGCTTCGTGCAAGATATCTTTCGAAGCACATGTCAGCAGCTCGCAATCAATAAGTGACTCACTGTCAAAGGCAGCGCTTTCACGTATCGCTTTTACCGCATTGCACATTTCGGTAATTTTTTTTCTCGAAGATCTTTTACAAAAGTTAGAATTCTTGATCTAACCAGATACGACTGTTCAGACAACTGAGTATATATATGATCAATGCAATATTCATAAGTAAATAACTTGTTCATTGTAGCAGGACTCAAATACAAACTCTTAGAAGATTGCATTAATTTTACAATTTTTGAACCATTTAGCTCGAACAATTTCACTCCTAAATTTTGAATCCGTAGCGGAAAGTACGATGGGTTGCGCGCTTCCAGAAGTCGTCGTACAGCACCACGATTTTCCATCAGTTTTCCCCAAATGTCTGTATGTAATATTAGTTCATTACCGCGATTGTCGCCGAGGATTATTTCCACGACAGGGTAGGATCGATATTGTACATTGAGTCCAATTTCCAAATACTTATGAGTTGTTGCAGTCAAAACATATCTGCGCCCCAGGATGCGAGTAGCATGACATGGCTCAGGAATGCTATAAAAATACAATGTCGTTGGAACAGCATAGCCGAGCCAAATAACCACGACTATTGGTTGGTTCAGCGCACTCGATGGTTGCTCGTATAGCGCAACTCGAGGGTTTAAAAAATACTTTGCGCAGACGTTTCGTATACGCAGGAGCCGGACATTCGACACTTGTTTAGCGAGAAATCGATATAGCGTTCAATAGTCGCATATCAATCGGGGCGATTGTAAATACAGACTATATCGACCCTCTTCGATTTCTCCAAGATGTGAAGAATATCGTGCTCGAGCATGTGCGAAGCGTTATGAAGAGACACGGTAGCGTAAAAGTCAACACTGTGTTCAACGGCGAATTTGTGACGGGTGATAAACGCGCGAACAAGAGCATCAATACGAGGAACGTTGGACTTCTTTCTACATCTGATTTAGACAATTGGTTCGTGACATGTATTATCGAACCCACCTTAGCGTCCATGGAAGAATTCCAGGAACGAGATAGCTGGTGGGCACTCTCGCGCATACTCGATCTGACCGTTAATGTTAACAAGTACAATCCATTGCATGCGGGATGTCATATCGAGTTACCGCGCGAAATAAAAATGAAGCGGGCTATAATCAACGTGCAATCTATGGACAATGCATGTTTCGCATGGGCGGTGGTCGCAGCGTTATGTTCAGCTGACAAAAACGCACAAAAACGACGTGGGACACTTCATGTGGATTAAGAATTTGTCTCGCCTTGTGAGCTCACAATTAAATAAAAAGAAATGCAAAAAATATATATGTGATCGGTAAGGATATTTTATGAATGATATTTTATGAATACAATATATAAAAATATACTATAAAGAAAAACTCATAATAATCATTTTTTATTACAGTTGTTTACATTATTTTCATACAAACGAAAAACTGGAGAGTCACACTATAGATTGTATGTAGATAGCAAATTGAATGACTGCGCCGTCATCTTGCCAAACGATGACAACAAATGGCCCAGCTTCACCAACTACTGCAGGAAGGAGCGGATCTCGTTTGTAGTTTACGCCGACTTGGAATGCATCCTGGAGAAGACACCGAGGGAAGAACAAAAACGAGTTCGTATGCGTATCAACATCATAGCGTATTTAGTATAGCGTATTACGTGCGATGTTCCTACGACGAGTCATTGTCCGCGTATCGATGTCATCGCGATCCGAATTGCATCTCATGGTTTGTCAAAGAACTTGAAGAACTAGCACATCGTGTAAAGGATATTTTGTCTGCAAATGTCTCCATGGAAACTTTGTCGAAAGAACAGTGGGAGACATTTCGGAACGCTACGCTGTGCCATGTGTGCGAGAAATCATTCGCAAAGGATGATACACGCGTGACCGATCATTGTCACCTAACTGGGCACAGAGGTCCCGCGCATTCCAATTGCAATCTAAATTATCGAGATAGTTATTGCATTCCCGTGGTCTTTCACAACTTATCCGGTTATGATTCACACTTTATCATCAAAGATATAGCAACCGCGTTCGAAGGTTCAATCACTGTACTACCGATAACCAAAGAAAAATATATTTCGTTTACAAAGACTGTAGGAAACATGATGGATAGTAGGTATAAATGGGAAAATTGTATACAATTGCGGTTCATCGATTCGTACAAATTTCTTAGTACTAGTCTCGATAAATTGGCGTCTTTTCTCAACAACGACAAATTAAAAATTGTTCAGTCTGAATTTTCAAATTTGTCCGACAAGGATTTTGACTTATTGACGCGAAAGGGGATCTTTCCGTACGAATACCTTGATTGCGCGGACAAGCTGCAGGATCGGTGTTTACCGCCGCGCGAGTCATTTTACAGTTCGTTGATGGGTGACACGGTATCTGAGAGCGATTACGCGCACGCCATGAACATCTGGCAACGGTTCGCCATTCAAACCTTAGGTGAATATAGCGACTTGTATCTGAAGATTGATGTCTTGTTGCTGGCCGATATTTTTGAAAATTTCCGCAATAGTTGTATCAAAAGTTATGGGTTAGATCCCGCGTATTGTTACACTTTGTCTGGTTTTACGTGGGATGCTATGTTGAAGCATACGGGCGTTAATTTCGAACTGCTCACTGATATCGATATGGTCATGTTCATCGAGCGCGGTATTCGCGGTGGCCTCAGTCAATGTTCCGGTAGATATGCAAAAGCCAATAACAAGTACATGCAGTCTTACGATCCATTGCAACCATCATCATACTTGATGTACTTCGATGTAAATAACTTGTACGGTTGAGCAATGTGTCAACAGTTGCCATACGTCGAATTTCGATGGGTCGATGATGTATCGAATTTCGACGTATCATCAATCGCACTAGATTCACCTATAGGTTACATTCTGGAGGTTGACTTAGAGTATCCGCAACGTCTGCACGACGCGCACACTGACCTACCGTTCTGTCCGACGCGGGACAAACCGCCAAACAAAAAGCAGGACAAGCTTTTCGCAACCTTATGCGATAAGCAGCGTTATGTGATTCATTATCGCAACTAGCAGCAGTGCACGCGTCACGGTCTTCGTATTGGAAAGATACACCGCATACTCAAATTTGCCCAATCCTCATGGCTCCGCGATTATATCGAACTTAATACACAGTTTAGAACACGCGTGACAAACGATTTCGAGAAAAATTTGTACAAATTGATGAACAACGCGGTGTTCGATAAAACCATGGAAAACGTTCGCAATCACGTAGACGTAAAACTATTGATAAAATGGGATGGACGATACGGTGCTGAGGCAATGATCGCGAGACCAAATTTTCATAGCAGAAGGGTCTTTTCGGAAAATTTAATCGCCGTTAAGCTACGTAAACTCGAGGTGAAATTCAACAAGCCGATCTATGTGGGTATGTGTATCCTTGACATATCCAAGATCTGCTTGTACGAATTTCATCACGAGTACATGTTTCCTCTGTATCAGAACAGATGTAAAGTAATGTACACCGATACTGACAGTTTAATCTACCATATCCAATGCGATGATATTTTCGAGCACATGAAACGTGATATTTCTAAGTTTGATACGAGTGATTATTCCGCTGATAACGTGTACGATATACCGCTTGCCAACAAAAAGGTACCAGGTCTGATGAAAGATGAAAATAACGGAGCGATTATGATGGACTCGTCAGACTCAAAGCAAAGATGTACGCGCTAAAGGTAGACAGCAAAAATGACACGAAGAAGGCGAAAGGTGTGAAGACCAATGTCGTAGCGTGCACTATAACGTTTGATGATTATATGCAATGTTTGAGAGACGAGGTCGAAAAGCAACGTCGTCAGTCATGCATACGATCCAAAATGCATAAAGTCTACACCGTGTCCGAACTGAAAACTGCTCTGAGTCCGTATGATGACAAGCGGTATATCGTACCAGACTCAACAGACACTTTACCATGGGGACATTACAGGATACAATTGTAAACTAAAAAGCGATCATTGTGCATACATGTATATTGTAAAATGAAAAGCGATCATTGTACATATATTTGTTTGTAAGAAATATTGTTAACTATAATAAAAGATGGTTTATTACAAGCTGTTTTATAATAGGATATTGTAATAAAAAAATATTTATAACAAAGAATTGGTTACAATACATTTTCTTTGTGTATCCAAGAGTTGTGCGAATTATCAAATCCCAACCATTTCACTAAAACCTTGTCGCCACTTTTTCGCAACACCTTTTCCACGAGATAAACGTCAGGATTAGCAGCGCGATGCAGTTCGTATTCGTAAAATCCTCCGGCAATAGACTTTCCGCGAGAATCCTCGAGCAGATAGGTCGCTGGATTAGTTGTCTGCACTTTGACGATTTTAAACACTTCGGTTGTCCAATTCGGTGTATAGCCTTTTTCAAAGATGGTTTTGAATTTGTTCACGCGTACCAGATCACCCACTTTGAATCTCGCAGGCGCAGCGATCTTTACGTTGTTGTAGACTGTGTGTAGGAGCTTATCGGCGATCTCGGGTGTCACATCGATAGGACGCATGCCGATAGTTCGATGTTTCCGTGTGTTGTACTCCGCGATAAGGCGCGGTAATGAGTCGGTCCATTTGTATGTTCCATTCAACGTAAACATTTTCCACATGTCGTTCTTTAACGTGCGGTTGAATCGTTCCACAACAGATGCTTTCATTACCGAGTACGTAGAATAATGATTGATACCGTGTTTTTTAAGGAGTTTCTGCAGATCCGCATTATAAAATTCCTTTCCCTGGTCCGTTTGCAAATTTTTCGGGCATCTTCCAGATTCTTGAAATATCCTGGCGAATACTGCCACTGCTTCTTTACCGCTCTTGCTCTTCATCGGTACAGCCCACGCATATTTGCTCAACACATCGATAACAGTGAGTATATAGTGGTAGCCTCTATTGAATCGCGAGTAAGGACGCATCTCTACCAAGTCAGCTTGCCAAAGATCATCGTATCCGCGCACTATGACGCGTCTACGGGGAAAATATCTTCTCGCTGGAGCGTGCAGCTCCTCCACCAACCGTTGCTTTTCGTTATCGATGAGCTGCTTCTCTGAACTTTTCTTCGTTTTGTTAAATTTTGATGATTGCTTCGCCATTGCAGCTTGTGATGATCCGTCTCTCGCTATGTTGATACTATATGTCAATTTAACTGTAATATTCTATTTTTATATTTCCCTTGATTACTTTATCTCTGAGCGTGTCCAGTCTAAAATTATGGTATTGATACAGTAGTCTATCTCTCCATTCTAAGTAAATATAAAAACTATATCTTATCATTTTGAAAAAGATAAGTAGTTGTAGACCTTTTACGTCTGCGCATCACCATCCCCACTACTTTCTCTATTCTCTACGGGGAAAGACATACGGTGTTGAGACTGGTGAAGCATTCAAGCTTCGCTCCTACTTGCAGCATAGCTAGTTCTCGTTATTACAAGTTCTTTACAAGTTATTAACAAGTTCTTGGAAGAAAAATGTTCGGCGCTAACGTGGACACCGCTCTCAAGAAGACGTCGAAGAAGACGAGCAGTCTCTCTACAGAAGTGGGAAACGTCCATAACATGCTTCTATGTACGACGTACGCACTCAACAATTCGGACACTAAGAGGATGCAGGTTGGATTGCGCACCACGTACGACATGGGTCCATTTGAGCCAACGATCAGGATCATGGGGAACACGTCTTCAGGAATTCTCCTTGATTTGAATACGTGGGAGAAGTTTAAAGATATTATACCCTCTGCAAATTCTTATTTGTGTGGGGGGAAATAAGAATACACCAACCCCTATCATCATCAACAATATCAGCATCAACTTTACCTCAGCGTACTGTGCACGAGCTGTAATGGTGAGTCAGCGAGGGAAAATGCTGGACGAGAGCGGACCTGCGAAGAAGACATCGGAGGAGTCTACGCATCTGAAGCAACCGCCGCTGAAGAAGCATAAGCTGTATACGGAGAATATTATAATGCAGAAGACATCTTTCGATGGTCTGCAAACTGTCACAAAATGTATCGATGCTAGATACGAACATTTACAAGCGGTTGCCGCTCTTGTGAGTAATTGCAAATATATTTTAGTAGGCGAAATAGAACTTAATCTCACGAAGGAAGGTGTAAACGAAGATTTCGTAAAACGGACGCTCGTTGATAAATATCGCGAAATCGAGGAAAATGTACGACGGCAAATGAAAAATTTACAATTTTTAGACACATATTTTAATATTGTATTCCGTGAATTGACTACGATTCATTTAAATGAAATTATACACGAGATTACAAACACAGAATGCCACGAGTGTTTGCGAAAATACGAATGTAACTTCAAAAATAAAATGTGAATTTATTTTATAAAAATGTTGTATATTCCTTCCTCCCCACCTCTTTTCTCTTCCCTGCGATCTCCAATTCGTTGTAACAAAACCCAACTTAACTTTTCGAGTTCGAAAGCGAAGGGGATACACAGGTAAAAATATATTCTACTTTTATATTTCCGCTGATTTCTTTATCTCTGAGCGTGTCCAGTCTAAAATTTGGTCTATGTTCTCATGAATGCTATTTATGCTCTGTATGTTTTTTTTCCGGTAGTCTTCCAGCCAATCCTCAATTTTTTAACATTCTCATCTACATATTGCTTCATCTCAACGTTACTCTCATGCAGTAGAAGCTTTACAGCATTTATATTCTCATCGATATACTGTTTCTTCTCAACGTTACTTTCATTCAACACAAGTTTTACAGACTTTATACTCTCATCCACATAATATTTGTGCGCAGCGTCATTGAAGGCTTCCGGCTGCGGTACATTATGTATCGCATGCATTTTTTCATCGAAACATTTGCCATCACGACCTTTACTATTGGCGGTTAGATAAAGGGCATTTTCATGTACATATCGTTTGGTTGCAACGTTGTTTAAATGATATCTCACACCTGCAACACATTCTTCCACGTATTGTTTGGTTGCAACGTCACTGTCGGCTTCAGGTTGCGCTACATGTTGTATCTTGCGCGACTTTGCGTCGAAAACTTTGGCAGCGTTTAAACAAAGAGCATTTTCATGTATGTAATCTTCAACATGTTCATTCCATTGATGCGCTTCGATCGGAGAACTATTGCTGTCTGGCAATACTCCAAACTTATGCGTCGACATTTCGGAGCAAGCTGTGTCGATGCTCTCGACTGGCTGACGATTGACTGACTGACTGACTCGTGTCAGTGCAGCGCTGTTTAATTTATAATAAGACCAGCTTCGCGGAGTTCTTCGATATCGATAAAATTTCGTTGTCATGAGCGTTGTTGCCGGCTTGGCGCGAAGCGTCAAGCAATCGCAAACGATCCCACAGCTCGTTGGGATCATCCCAATGCACGTAATCGATATTGTTTTCATTTAAGGTCATCATAGCTTGAGATGCATATAAACCTTTTCCAGCCACTTTATCGCTCGACGCATGTGATATTAGGGGCCGCGATTATATGTTTATATTTGTGTCCCTTGTTACCGGAGTATCGGATTTTGCGGGAGGTATCCGCGTCCGTGAGCATTCGTCGTCCAATAGTATACTTTTGTATTTTTGCATATCAGCCTCGGTGTACACAGAATCGTCGGGGATTCTTTTGAATATTAGCTCGTAAAGACCGGGTGTTCCAATGTATCCTGTTTCGCCTATGATTATATTATCGTCTCTGTCCACATTGACACGTTTATCACCGAGCATTGCTCCATCGTTACTAAGACGTACACCGTAAACATAATCTATAGTGTTATCTTTTCCACTACTTAGCACAGCTCCCATATATTTTTGACCCAACGGACCAAAATGATCATGTAAAGTTTGTTGTCCTTTGTACGTTCGCAACTGACGTATAACGGATGTCATTACCGGTTCATCGGGGGTTTCGAAAACATTCTCATCATCATCATCATCAGTGAGTAGATTGTCGATCGGTGAAGGTTCATGTGGTTCCTCATATTGTAGAGCTCCCGTCGATGTAGAAACTATCGAAGGATCTTTGAATAGTTTCCGTTTCAGCGGAGTCAATGCGGCTGGTGAAAGTTTTGCCTTACGCTTTATCTTTTTTTCGGGTTTTAATATTACACTCTTTGTTTCTTCGCTTGTACTCATTGATAGTGGCTCAGTTTTAACATCAACGTTACTTTCCACATTAGCGCTGCTTCCCGCGATTTGCTTGAGAGGTTCAATAATAGGTTTAAAGTGTCTCTCCAATGCAGCATTCTCAATAATTCTACCGGTTTTCAAAGCGCGATACTTCTTGCGGATCGATTCGCTCGTTTTCGCAATCTCTTCCGCTACCTTTCCACGATCTCAATCTTCATGCTACTATTCATCATTGATATATTTGTCTCGTGGACGTTGAAGATGTTACCACGTTGAGGTTGCAACGACGATTGAGCATCTCACAGCACAGCAAAGTCGTTAAATCCTTTCCTGTATCGTCCGTTGGTCATTGAGCTGTCCTTATCAATCACTGTGAAACCATATTTATCCTCCCAACATTTGCGACACAATGCACTGAAATCTTCATATGACATGTCGGTATTCACATGATCGTTGTACACATGTTTCAAATTGGTACCATCCTGTTTAAAAGAGAATCAGAAAATTTGCATTGTNTATGGCCTCAAGAAGACTTCCTCTAAAATTAAGAGATATTATAAACACATTACTGCTTATAAGTTAGAGGAACTATATTGTTATATTAGATGCAAATACTATTGATTTTAATATAAAGTTTCTCTAGTATACCACAGCGATCTGTTTAATATTTTTTAAGAATACGAATTTTATTTCTACTATAAACTTTATTTCTTACTGATTAACTTGAAAAATTATCTGTAATATCAGGTGTAGTAAAAAAAGTAATCCATTATTTTTGCATGAAATTGAAGGCTTTAATTACCATAGTTAGAATGATCCGAGTTAGGTCAAATATGCGCCGTTTTGTTCGATAACTTGCCATTTTGAAGGTAATTTATTATGCCTCTCTCATAGAAGCCCTCGTCCCTATTGGCAAACAATTGAGACAGTCGATTTTCACAAGCCTCTCTTGAAGCGAATTTTTCACCAGCAAAATTGTTCGCCATGGACAGGAACAGATGGTAATCACTTGGTGCCAGGTCCGGACTATAAGGTGGATGCATAAGAACCTCCCAACCAAGCTCCCGGAGCTTCTGGCGAGTCACTATCGATGTGTGTGGCCCGGCGTTGTCCTGATGGAACACAATTTCCTCTCCTATTGGCCAAAGCTGGCCGCTTCTGGGCGATTGCTTCCTTCAGACGGTCCAATTGTTGACAGTACAGTTCCGAGTTAAGAGTTTTGCCGTAGGGGAGCAGCTCATAGTAGATAATTCCCTGTCAATCCCACCAACACACAGCAAAACCTTCCTGGCCGTCAATCCCGGCTTGGCCACCGTTTCCGCCGGCTCACCGAGATTCGATCACGACCGTTTTCGCTTGACGTTGTCGTAAGTGATCCACTTTTCATCACCAGTGATTAACCGCTTCAGAAATGGGTCGATTTTGTTGCGATTCAGCAGCGATTCGCAGATGGAAATTCGGTCCATGAGGTTTTTTTTCGTTAACTCGTGTGGCACCCATACATCGAGCTTCTTTTTGTATCCAGCCTTATTCAAATGGTTCCAACGGTTTTTTGGTGCAATCTTTAGCTCTTGGGCATCGAAACAGTGCTTACATGACGGTCGGACTCGACAATGTCCATGATTTTATCGATATTGTCGACAATTGGCCTTCCAGAGCGTGGTGCATCTTTGACATCGAAATTACCGGAACGGAATCGACGAAACCAAAATTGCGCGTGATTGGCTGTTACAGTATCAGGACCATAAAACACTATTCACATTTTCAGCCGCCTGGCTTGCGTTTTCGCCTTTATCGAAGAAAAACTGTAAAATATAGCGTATTTTCTCTTTGCTAGTGTTTATCTTTGACGCGCTCTCAAATAAAACTGAGTCAACTAATCACAAAACTGTCAGAAAAGTTTTTTGAGTACGAAATCTCATCTTTCTAACGCATCTAGTGGAACCCGATCGGACTTATACAACGCGAGATACAGATAACTAAAGCCATATATTAGAAAAATAATGGATTTCTTTTTACTACACCTGATATATAGTGAAAAGTAATATATATAGCACTTCAGGCTCCAGTTCTACAATAAGTAGGCATGAATGAAATAAAATCATTATAACAAATATTCTGTATCTGTAATAAAAAATGAGGGTTTCCATTTAAGATTTCAAAGTTGCCCCCAACCCCACCCCGAGGGGGTGGGGTGGGAGGCGAGTTTGGTATCATTGGATGTCCCCCTTCGAGACTAACAACTTTCATTAACCACTTTTTTTATCCAATGCATAGTTCTCGAGATATTTCAATGTC